TCAGTTCTACTCCAGCTAGAAACATCATGTATTTTCCCAATAATATACTTTTCTATAACCATCCCCATTTCCCTGAGAGACTAACCCTTTTATGTTTTTCCTGTCCAAACTGTCAAGCTCAGAGTTGCACTTTACTACAGCCTGGGCCTGAGATTTCTCTTCCCTTTGAAATCAAGATGATTTTCTCTATTCTACTCAGTTGTTGGTTCATCAGACTGTGTGCTCCTTCCATTGTGTGGGGGATGTAGGAAAGCTTGGGTCTGACATCCATGCCCGGCCCAGAGTCCTGACTCTGTTTCTTACTTACTGAAAAACCCTAGGCAAATCACCTAACTTCTCTGATCTTCAGTTTCCTTTTCTGCAAAATCAAGACAATAATCCCTGCCTCATCGGGTTATCCTCTGGATTTAATGAGAACCAGGAGATTGCCTAACACAAAAATACACTGGAGAAAAGATCATTATCTTTATAATACTGTTTTCTTGTATTATTGAATTTCTCACGTGCCTCCATCTTGTTTCCCAATCTTGACTGTCATTTCTCTGCCTCATTTACCTTCTTATCACACTGCCCTGCACATGATGGGCACTAAACATTCATTACCAATTTTCTAAAGCTTTAACGTGTTAAAAGAAAAACTTCAGCTAAATTCAATTTAAAATAGTTTATCTGAGCAAAGAATGATTCAGGATTTGGGCAGCCTGCTGAGCCAGGGCAGCCTCAGGGCAGCCGTGTGGTAGAAGAGAATTTATGGGCAGAAAAAGGAAAGTGACATATAGAAAGCGGAAATGAGGTACAGAAACAGCCAGATGGTTACAGCTCAGCATGTGTCTTATTTGAGCATAGTTCGAACAGTTGGCCACATTTGAGTGGCCAAAACTCAGTAATTGACATACGAGTAGATCACACTCTGTTTACATTTCCATTTAGCCTATAGTTCACAGTGTACAGAGAAACCTTTAGGCCAAACTTAAAACATGTAAGGAGGCAGCATTAGGTTAAACTCGATTTAACAAAAGTAGATCATGCACTCTTTCAATTCCAGACTCATTTTTTGATTATTTGTTATTGGTGTGTTATTGGCGAGGCATTCTCAAGGAATTTTTAGCAGGTCATTTGACTTTTCTGGGCTTCAGTGTCCTTGTATGCGAAATAAATATTTTGGTCTCTAATTCTAGATACGCTGACATCCCTCTAGCATTAAAGTTTGGAATCTATATATTCCCGGAAGGCAAGGATGGTGATTCTTCTTTCAGACTCCTCAACACCTAAACCAATGTTGGGTACAGAGCACGGCATGCAGAACTGATTCTGGTGCATGCAGAATCAATTCCAGATGCCTCCTGTGTCCTGTTTCTTCTTCTGTCTCTCCTTGGTCCATGCTCCACTCCAGCCAGACTGGTGTTCTTTGTACACCCCTAGAATTTTCCAGATTGTTCTGCCTTGAGGACTTGGTATTTGCTGTTTCTCATCATTCGATTCTCTCTCTGCCTGACCCATCTCTCCAGCCCATAACCTGCTTTGTTTTTTCATTCTTGTAATTGCTCTCTGAAATTGTCTTATTATTTAGTCATTTATTTGTTTATTCTCTCCACCTCTTCCCCAATCCCCAAATATAAGCTTCTATCTTGGATCTTTTTATATCACTGCTGCTAAAACAGTACTTAGCACAATCTAGGCTCTGAAATAGATAACTGTAAAATAAATAATGAACTCTACCATACCTTATACAGTAGGTTTTACAGTCGTCACTCAGTATCCTCAGGAGATTGGTTCCAAGATCACCTGCGTATACCTGAATCTGCACATACTCAGGTCCCTAAACAGGTGCCACAGAACTCACATATAGGAAGAGCCGGCCTTTGCCCTCTGTATACTCACATTTCCCATCCCAGGGATACTGTATTTTCCATCTGCATTTGGTTGAAAAAAAATCCGTGTCTAAGGGCATCCATGCTGTTCAAACCCATATTGTTCAAGGTCAACTGTAGTTGGTGAGGTGAATTCTATGGCTATCACACACCAGGTTCTAGTGAACGCCCTTAGTTGAGAGTAACCCATACAAGCGAATTAACTGCCAGAGGTCTTCGTATACGTGGAGGGGGAAGAAATAAGTAATCCCCAGGAAGACAACTGTAGACGATTGTATCAGCTTATTTAGAAATCTTATCAGCATATCTTATTTGCTGTGGAAAATTTAGGTAACATTTTAAAATTAATTCATTTCTTTTTATTATGGAAAATGTCAAACATAAACACGAGCAGATGTGGTATGTAAGAACAGCATAAGGGACCCTCTTGTACATTGTGGGGGATGCACTCCAGGGTGCCCCCTCACCCTAGTGTTCATGCCCTGTGTACTCCTCTCCCTTTGAGGGTGTGCAAAACATGCTTTCTGGTCAACAGAATGTACCCATTTGAAGTTGCCCCCGTGGGATTGCTTTATGTTATATAAAATTCTGCCTTGCTGGAGGTTCACTCTGGGGACTTTCCTTGTGGGCCCCATGCAAAAAGTGGCTGTGCTTGGAAAGCCCAAGTGACAATGAAGTCCAGGTAACCTCCAGGAATTGCAAGTTGCCTTCTTGGAGCTGAGGACAATCTCCAGTCTCTAGCCAGCAAGAAGCCAGGGCCCTTGGTCCTTCTGCTGCAAGTAAAGGAATTCTGCCTGTGCCCGGAGTGACAGTGGAAGCCAGTTCTCCAGTGAATGTGAATGCAGCCTGGGCAGCCCCCTGATGGCAGGTGTGAGACTCCAAGTGGAGGACTGAGTGTACCTGGACACCTGATCCACAAAAACTGTGAGAAAAATCTGTCTTGTTTTAAGGCCACTAAGTTTGTGGTAGTTTGCAGCAATAAATAATTAAGTATACACCACCCAAGGTCAACTATTTTTAACAGTTTCCGATTGTTTCATTTACAATCCCACATCTGGGGCTGGGAGGGTAGGAGGAGAGGAGTGAATGGGCTGGTGTGTTTTAAAGCACACTTCAGACTTTATATTATTTCACTGGCAAATACTTTAGTACATATCTCTAAGAGATAACGAAGGACTTTTTAAAAGCCTAACCACAATGCCAAAAAAATTAGGTTTAATTGAGAACAAGAGTGGGAATCTTTTTAATGCCATCAAATCAATGGATCTGTTACATTAATTGGACATCCACAGAAAAGGTGCTCGCAATAAATAGAATAAGACCCCGTTGATCTCATTAGCTAAAGGAGAGGAAAGCGTATGAGAGCTTTCACTTGAAATGTCTGAAGCTTTCCAGTTGGTTTTTAAAAAATAGTCCAGCCACAAAGTACTTAATTGTCCCTGTAATATGCTTGGCTCTCATACATTATCTAAAATAATTCAAACCCAATTATGACTGTGTGCTTAAGATCCATTTTCCCTAGACCCTAACCTGCTTTGGAATGGACCCCTGTAAATTTCATTTTTATTCAAAACTCCTTGTAATCTAAGGTCATATTCTAATTTCTATTCCCACCACCTTTTCCTTACTACAGGAAGCTCCTCCCAACTGGCCTTCTTGGATAAGCCAATCTCATCTCCCTTCGACACTGCTCACTGAGGCATGCTTTGTAAGGGATATGCTAGGGATCTGGGTTCAATGCCATCTCTATCACTTGGGAGCTTTGTGATATTTGGCCAGTAGTTAAGCTTTCTCTAAGCTGGAGACAATAATGTCACTCATGATTCTGGGGGATATTAGACGAAGAATATGTGTAACGTGCAAAATGCCCGGTACAGAGAAGGCACCGTTCCCCAAAACCCTCTTTGTTGGCTCCCATTTCTCACCACCGAGCCCCAGAACGCCCGGCACCACACCTCTCCCGCCCTTGTCGCGGGGGATGCCGGGACTCGTAGTTTCTAAAGCCCGAGCCGTGCTTCCTCTAGGCGCCGGCCGGCGGGAGGAAGAACTACACATCCCAGTGGGGTGTGAAAGGAAAGCAGGGCTCGGAAAACCGTGCGTTCCTGCCCAGCTGCCTTCGCTTTCCGCGGCCCCGGGGCTGTGCCCACCCCTGCGGGGGCTCGGACCCGCGACAAAGCCCGAGAGGCGCTAGCGAGCAGTCACCCCCGGCTCCGGCCGTCCCAGGGCCGCGCCGGCAGCTCCTTCTGGACTGATCGGCTGGGAAATAGGGAGGCGCGGGCGGGAGAGGAGAAGCGCGCGATTCCTCCGCTGCTTAGAGGGCTCCTCGGGGGAATGGAGGGAGAAATAAAACGAGCAGTTGTGATCATCTGTGGGGAGAAGTGGAGACCGAAAGGGCTGGGCGGCAGCAACCCAGAACCTACCCTGCAAGAGGCTTCTACTCTGGGAGGGAGGCCGGGGCCGGAGGGGACCCTGACCGCTTCCTCCGCCCTTCTCTCTCGGCCCGGAAGCCGGCCGAGCCGGGCCCCGAGACCCTCGCCCGCAGCCGGGTCCGGGAGTCAGGCCGGCCTCGGGCCGCCTCTCCCCATTCTGGCACCCGGCACCCCCCACCCCATTCCTCGGGCATCAGCAGAGTCTCTCGGCGACTCCACCGCGCGCCCAGCGGGGGAGGAGGATGGGGGGCGCAGGCCGGGGAGGGTCACCTCTGCGCCGCGGTTCCTCAGGTCCCGGGGAGTCGCCAGGACCTGCTTGCCAGTGGCCGTGGGAATGAGCGTGTCCCGAGGCGGCAGCTGCTGCGGGAGATAAACCCGGGAGAAACCGCAAGAGAGACTGAAGTTGGTCAAAAGCGCACTGCGCGGCGCCCGACCCCATCCCTTCTCGGCCGATGCCACCGGGAGCCCCTGCGCCTGCCCCCGGGGCCGTGCCAGGCCCGGTCCGGCCCACAGCCCAGGGCGCCCGCCCGTGGAGACCGGGGCGGGGACCCAGCGGCGCCGGTGCCCCGGCTTCGCGGGAGAGGAGGAGGAGGAGGAGCAGGAGGAGGAGCTGCGGGTGAGGCGCGGCCACCGCCCACCCAGCCTGGAGTAGGCGGATCCACTCCGAGCGCCGCGCGCGCGCCGGGGCTGAGCCTTGCAAACAAGTGTCTGTGCGGTGTCCCCGCGGTCCTCCTCGCGCCGGGGCTGCTTCCTCTGGGCAGGAGGGAGCCAGGGAGCCCTCGCCGCGCGGCCCGCGCATCCCCACGCGGGGCCCGCGGACTCGACTCGGCTGCCAGGCGCAGCGACAGCAGGTCGCGGTGCGAGCGGCGCCAGGGCTCTCGCCGAGCCGCTCCTGACAGAAAAACGTGCGTGGCTGTCCCCACCCCTGGGAGGGGTTGCCGGTGCCGCGCGCGGCCGCCCAGTCGCCAGCGCTCTCTCCTGGGAGGATCCACCGCCGGAGGAAGGAGTGGACCCAACCTGGCCGCGGCTCAGAAGTGGCTCCCGAGGAAGCCGGCGCCGGGGCCGCCGCCTCGTGTCCCCTTGGGGTTTAACGCTCTGGGGTCGGCGGGCCAGAGCCGAGGCGCTGCCGGGGAGCTAGGGGCTAAGGGGCCGAGCGGGCGGCCGCGCGAGGGGGCGGGCGCTCGGCGACCCGGGGGCCGGCCGGGCTAAGCCCCGCTCCCCTGGACACGGGCTGGAAGCGACGGAGGAGCGCTGCCGAGGGCTGCCGGCCAGCGCCGTCCCCCCCGAGCGGGGCTTCTGCTATGACAGTTGGGCTCCCCGGAGGGTTAACCTGGGTGTCCTCGGCAAAGTTGTCGCCGAGCCGGGAGCCCGTGTAGGGGCCGCGGCGCCGCGGCTCGGGGGGCGGCCGGGCGGCCGGCGGCGGTCGTGGCTCGGCGGGGCCCGCGCGGCCGGGGGGCTCCTGGGGGTGTGCGCCCCCAGCCGGCTGCCCTCGTGGATGCCTCCCGGCGGCGGCGGGCCCATGAAAGACTGCGAGTACAGCCAGATCAGCACCCACAGCTCCTCCCCCATGGAGTCGCCCCACAAGAAGAAGAAAATCGCGGCCCGGAGGAAATGGGAGGTGTTCCCGGGAAGAAACAAGTTCTTCTGCAACGGGAGGATCATGATGGCCCGGCAGACGGGCGTCTTCTACCTGACGCTCGTCCTCATACTGGTCACTAGCGGACTCTTCTTCGCCTTCGAGTAAGTGGTGGCGACCGCTCCCCCGACGCCGCGCTCCCCTCGCCTCCCTTGTCCTCTGCCCCTCCCCAGGCTGCTTTCGTTTTCTAGAAGCTTTATCTACTGTAAATTGTTATATAATGCCAGCCCAAGCTCCCTCTTTTTTCTTTTAAAGGTCTGATTGCTTTTGGGGCCCCAAAGAGACCGCCATTCTGGGCCGGGCTTCTGGGAGCAGTGAGGGAAGGGGGCCACTTGGAAGGCCCCCTTCCACCCCTGCCTTGCTGCTCCAGGTAGCGGGTGGGACCCAGCAGGTGGGGCCACCGGTCCCTGATCCCTGGCATTCTCTCTACCGAGTTTGGGGACCCAGCAAATCAGCCCAGATGCAGCCTGGGGTGGGATGCGATAGATTTCTAAGTTGGGGATACACAGAACTGACTTTTTCCTCCCTTTCTGACAAGATATAGGGCATCTTCTTAAGCTCAGTTGACTAAATCTCCCATGCAGCTCCGACGAATAATTGAGGAATCTTGGTTATTTCAGGTTTCAAAGTGTTGGCCACTTAGTGTGCCCTGGATAGATCATTTCATCCTCTAGTCTCCTACATGTTCACTCTTGATGACAATTTCTGATTTGCCATGAGGTTTCTAAGCTCTTCACTTTCAAAAAGATTGCAATAAAAAGTGTTCAAAACAATTTGGGAGCATGCGAAAGGAGACCTTACGTCTGTTAAGGAAGTGTATGACACTGCGTGACAACTTCTGATTCCAGAAACAGTCTGGCCTTTAGGGATTATATCTGGGGGAAAGAAAAGTACATGCAAGTCCTCACTGTTTTCAGGAAAATCAAATTGGCCAGTAGCAACTGTCCTCCTGCCAACTAATGAAAGGTCTTCTTATTTATTAACAGTGATTAGACAAAGCAGTTAAACCACATTCCAAATCAATTTCAGTTGCTCTTTTTGAGTCCAGCATTGAATGCAACTCCTTATGTAAGTCGCAGTATCCTATGCTCAATGAAAGGTGGAATTACTTTTCCCCCCCAGAATTTAAAAAAAGCAATATATTTATAGGGAGTTCTTCTCTGGGCTTCCTATATCCTGGTTATTATTGAGCATGATACTCCTTCAGTCTCCACCTCCTCCTGTTGGGTAGGCTTAATTAAAACCTTTCGAATTTATTTACTTTTGTTTCTGATTAGTATTAATAGGCTCTAATTTCGTGCCTGGATTTTGCCCTTCCAAATGCTGTCTCAACTGGAAATAAATGATCTCTTGACAATGTAATACTTGTCACTCAAAGCCCTTTGACTCTAAGGAGAAACGTTTTGTGTCTGAACCCTGTGCTCTGAGAACAGGCAATGAGAAAGATTTCAGATTTAGGTGAATTCCCCCCTTCCCAGTCCTTCTCTCACACAACTCCTTTCCTCCATTTCTAATGGTGTGTGCAGTTCCTGGGTGCCTTCTTGATGTTTAGGTTTTGTGTCTGTTTGACACTAGTAGGTAGAGTCAGTGGAGGGACCTGTGGACCGGAGGGAAAGCATGTGCACAGGCATTGAGAGTGGCAGGGAGACACACTCAGGCTGCTGTTGCTCCCATGGGCCCTCATTGAGAGCAGCCTCTTATCCTTCCAGACCCTGGAAACTGGAAGAAGGGGCACAGAGGTTGCCCATGAGTTTACGTTATCGGTTAGGATCAACACTGGCACTGGAACAATGATGCCATGTGGTTTAACAGAAATGCTGTCTCTCTAATGGTGGACTCGTTACAGGTGGTCCTCTAGTTGCAGAGTATTAACAGTGTTCCTAATGTTAAAAAAAAAAAAATCTCAAACAGATCCGAATCGGCACTTTTGCTCTTTTTAGTGATTTTAACTGTGGAGAACATGGGTTAATTTTGTGATTCTGTTGCAGAGCTTCAGCCACAGGTGTGCTTCGTTGAAGATGATGAATATTTCATATTCTGTATATACCTAAATCCGCACTGTATGGTTAGGGATTCCCCCAGTTATTACTTAACATCTTTTATTTCTACATTCAAACATAGCTTCTAGCCAAACCATCATGAATTCATTTTCATTTCTTGATCTTGGCATGTGTTTTTCCAAGAGTTCCCGAAAGTCCTCAACTGGCAGGTTGTTACGGATCTTACTCTGCGTCAGTGTTGTGTTAACTGGTGACTGTAGGAGTAAACGTGTGCACTGGGATTTTATTAGCTACTATTTGCAGCATCTCTTTTATGTCAGCTCTGTGGGAGTGTATGCGTGTATATGTGTGTGTGTTTGGTCTCCATGGGTGTTGCTTCAACTAGGCAGTTTGACATTTCAAGAAAACAAGAGGCCCATCCTGTTGCCTCTGTTCAGAAAAATCAGAGGCTGTTCAAGCTCTAGAATATTATGGTTTAGCTGAGAATATTTGTTACTGCATTGTTTTCAAGTTCTTTATTCATAAATTAAATAACCAAATTAACCAAATTAATTTGCTAGAGACCAAAGAACCAGTTAACCCCATACAGAGGAACAAAATACCAACAGGACAATCCTAAGCAAGATCCAGAGGAAATGCCAGTACTGCCTGCCCCTGGCCTGCCTTTCTCCTGCCTTCCTCTAGTTACTTATGGGACACATACCATGTGGTGTCCCCTATTTTGATTGTTTAATTTCATGTCTAGATAGCTTTTTAAAAATTTTTTATTTATTATTTTTTATAGAGATGGAGTCTGCTTATGTTCCCAGGCTGGTCTTGAACTTCTGGCTTCAAGTGATCCTCCCGCCTTGGCCTCCCGAAGTGCTGGGATTATAGGTGTGAGCCACCACACCTGGCCATCATGTCTACATAGCTTTTTATTGGAAACAGAGTCTCACTCTGTTGCCCAGGCTGGAGTGCAGGGGCACAAACATGGCTTGCTGTATCCTCGATCTCCTGGGCTCAAGTGATCTTACCATCTCAGCCTCCTTGGTAACTGGAACTGCAGGCGTGCACCACCACACCCGGCCAAGCTTTGTATTTTTTTTATAGAGACATAGGGGTCTCACCGTGTTGCTCAGGCTGGTCTTGAACTCCTGGACTTAAGTGATCCTCCCGCCTTGGCCTCCCGAAGGGCTGGGATTATATGTGTGAGCCACTGCGTCTGGCCATCATGTCTAGATAGCTTTTTATTAGAGACAGAATCTCACTCTGTTGTCCAGGCTATAGTGCAGTGGTACAATCACGGCTCATTGTAGCCTCAACCGCCCAGACTCAAGCGATTCTCCCATCTCAACCTCCTTAGTAACTGGCAGGCGTGCACTACCTTGTCTGTCTAAGTTTTGTATTTTTTGTAGAGACGTGGTGGTGTTACTGTGTTGCTTAGGCTAGTCTCAAACTCCTGAGCTCAAGTGATCCTCCTGCCTTGACCTCCCAAAGTAATGAAATTATAGGCGTGAGTCACCGCACCTGGCTCTCATGTCTAGATAGCTTTTAATGTTAGTAAAATTCATTGTCAAACATTAGAATTGTGTTTTCCCAGGTACACAAAAGCAAATAAAATGTGTGACAAGAAAAATGAATAACTTAGTCACTTAGTTTGAGTCTTCCCTCGTCTGCAGTTCTTCTCTCATCCCAGCTCTCATTTCTGACCTTGAACAGACGGACAACAAAGTTTGTCCAAGAGAAATGAACTTACTGGAGCTCAGCAGCAGGTGTTGATACAGTCTTCAACCCTTGGAGAAAGGCAGGGTAGAAATGAATTATTCCCACATCAAAGATGAAGTGACAGAGGCTTGGTGAGGTTAAATAGTCACCTCCCGTCGCGCAGCTGATTTGTGGGAAGGCTTCTGGCTGCAAAGCCAGTGCTCTTTATGTCTGACCGTGCTGCTCCTGCTTCACGGTTAAAAGCGTGGATTTTGGAAGGACAGACCCTAAGATTGTTACTAGCACTATAAACCCAGGTAAATGGTTTGTCTTTTTTAAGCCTTAGATTCCTAATCTGCAAACTGAGATTAATAATAATCTACATTTAAATGATGGGAAGATTAAATGGGAAAAATATGTTCTGCACAGTATACAGTATAATATGTATACAGTACAGTATATGATATACTGTGTACCAGTGTCTGGTACATAGCAAGTACTCAATAAATGGTACATGTTATTAGAGTAAACCTTAGAAGTAGCCCCCCAAAGCCTCTGGTCACCTTTTCTGAGAGCATTTTGAAGAAGGGAACATGTAGGTTAATAAGCAACTGTGACTGTGAAAAAACTCAGAACTGTGCAGTCTGCTGTTAAAGACTTGGCCAGGTGCAGTGCTCACGCCTTTAATCCTACCACTTTGGGAGGCTGAGGCAGGAGGATCCCTGGAACCCAAGAGTTTGAGACCAGCTGGGCAACATAGAGAGACCCCATCTCTAAGTTTTATTTAAATAAGAGTTAAAATATAAAAATAAAATAAATACCTTTATTTGAGTCCAAGGAGCCTCTGTGAAGCTATGGTTTTGCTGTTACCCCTTTAGAATGGGAGTCCTTCAGGGATGTCTGGGGACCTGTTCTTTTTTTTTTTTTGAGACAGAGTCCTCCTCTGTAGCCCAGGCTGGAGTGCAGTGACACGATCTTGGCTCACTGCAACTTCTGCCTCCTGGGTTCAAGCAATTCTCCTGCCTCAGCCTTCCAAGTAGCTGGGACTACAGGCATGTGCCACCACACCTGGCTAATTTTTGTCTTTTTACCAGAGATGGGGTTTTACAGTGTTAGCCAGGATGGTCTCAATCTCCTGACCTCTTGATCCACCCTCCTCAGCCTCCCAAAGTGCTGGGATTACAGGCCTGAGCCACCGTGCCCAGCTGGAGACCTGTTCTTATCCAGACTGGATTTCATATTAGTTTTTGAAGACACCATCCGAGAACAATGAAGACAGTACAGAAAGCTACTAGAAGCAAGCAGATGCAATACTGTACTCTTTCTCAAGCAGGGAAGGACTGCTTATCTGTTGGCATCTTTGTGCACCGTATGGAGTACTGATGAAAAGTGGCAGCATTTCATAGCTTAGGGGAGGT